CCCCCCCCCCCCCCCCCCGTTTGAAATTATTTCTTCTAACATACACATGTAAAGAATAGGTATTCTGCTCATGATTAATTCAACAATTATGAAAATTAATCATTTTAGGGTAATTTTTACACCAAGTAACATAGCAATGCTTGCTTAAAGCCATTAAGAGATGACTCGTAGAGCGGTACGTACCTTATATCCAACACGGTTCGGTTCGTGAACACTACTACTGTCAACTCCTTCCATTTATATTGGATCCTTAGGTAAAATAGATCAAAGCTATACAACTTGTTCTAAAGTATAAGTTTCTTACTCCCCAGACGTGACCAACTTGTCCGCTGTCAACACTAGTTTATACGAGGTCTTTTGATCAGTTGACAGCTAAAGGGAATAAATGCGTAGCCAAGCACCTTATTTTACCTCTTTGAACTGAGCTTTTTCGAAGTTTTTTGATGAAGGTTCTGCACAGGTTTTCATTACGCTTCGTAGCGAATTTTTTAACTGTTTTTTATTAGTCAATGAGCTAGTGAAAATGCATAATGGTGGACTTTTAGCGTTGTTTGGGCACCAATTTGTATGAGATGAATGGCTCAATTAAGCATCCACGAATTGTTTGAATTATTTGCAAAGCAAATAATGGCGGCTTAATCCCCTCTACTATGAATTCACCCAGCATGCACTGGCAAGCAAATACTTTAGAGAAGGCGGACTAACTGGCTCCATTTGACAAAGAACGAACCCAAGATAATAGTATTCATTAACGAACATTGTTTATATAGATAAAGAAAAACAACTCGTAGTGGGTAATGCTTGTCACATCGAAGTATAAATCTTTTATCACTAAAAATGGAACGGAAAGACCGCACGCGCGCAAGATGATGACGCACGGGAGTAGGGTAAGGCGAAATTTAAACTGCATCCGGTTACTAAAAATAACCCAACCGGGAATTTACATGGCGCGCGCGTTATAAGAAGTTTCCTTTCTTGAACAAACTCAATTCACATATGTTGTCCGCAGGGCTCGAACCATTGGAACGACAGTGGTGAAATGACGACACGTTAAGGCCTATTTACACAGCACGATTTGTCGCGCGCGACTTGACGTATACGGCAAAACCAGCCCAAAATCGGGTCGTGTAAATAGGCCTTTAGCAGCGTACTATTGAAGGCAAAGTTAAATGCACTTGCTAGTAAATTAAATTAAACATCTTTTAATTTAAATGGTGGCTAATAATTTGGATTCATTAATTTTCACACATTTGATAGGCTATATTCAATTTCATTTGGTTTAAAAGCTACCTTACACTGAATATACATATCACAAAACGAACCAACTGTACTTGTTCAGTTTGTGCCAGTGATCATGATGACATGTGATCTTCTACGCAGGCGCTATTAGTGTCTGGAGAGCGTTACGTGGAAACACTAATAGCGGCTGCTTAGAAGACTAGATAGATTGTATGTACATTTTAGTATAAAACACATGCTTTTGCACCATCACGTGATGGCAGCCATGACAGGTGGCAGGAAAAATATTGAATAAGGTCTAATCTGATTTACATGAGAAGATTTTAGTTTCCCTGAAGACTATTGATTTGCTGCGCCTCCTGTCATGGCTGCCATCACGTGATGGTGCAAAGCCTCTATACAGCTAGCATTTCACCAGTCGTATTCCTTTTTGAAATGTATAAACATATACACGTTTTACTGACGTAATTATTAAAAACAGGTATGGAGATATACAAGGCAAAGTAAGAGGAAGGGATAGCAAGAATGACAGTGAAAAGTTTAACCGAACTCGGAAACGGTACAGAATTGACCGAATCGTCGAGCCAATCAGTGTGCGAGGATAGTGCGAACCGGATCAGGTAAGTAGGTCACGTGATATATTTTTAACTCGATCTGGTGGCAAAAATATCAGTCACCAATCAGCATGCGAGAATACTTTTCAACCCAATCAGGCAAGTAGGGCACGTGACATCTGTTGCACCAATCAGCGTGGAAATATACTGCTAATCCAATCAAGTTATTTGTACACAGTATTTTAGTACTGCAGGTTTTTGAAATTTGTTTTAATGGCACTGATCGACCTCACGGAATTGAGCATTTTCGAATGCATTTTCGAGTGTTCGAATGGAAGAAACTAACTGAATATATCTCTCTTTTTCGAGCTAAAAAAGGAATAAAGGATTTCGAAGGGGATTTTTTTCCTTGATTTTCCGAGGAATTTGCGTGAATTCCCTTCACTTAGCAACTACAATCGGTCACTAAGCACCGGTGACGTCATACAAATTAAGACCGAGAGGTACTGTGGGACATTTTACTGAAATAGAAATTTTGTATACAAAAATAAAACAAAATCGAACCAAACTAAATTCATTTTTTGATTACGAAACCCGAGATTAATATTTATACTTTTTTTCATTTCATTGAATTATAATTGATAATGATTATGCTAAGAAGAAAGTTTAGTTCGGTTGGCGTGAGATATATCGGAATGATAGCGTGGATATTAAAGGTAAATGAAAGAGGTAGACTGACAGAGTAACGTACGATTCAGCTACCCCTCTCATCTCCTAAAAAGCAAAAAAATTGTTTCAAAAGTGCTATTTTTGTGCACTTCCGACATGATTTTTGACATAGGCACAATTTAGCTACCTCTCATGTACTCAGCAACCCTTATCGTGTAAAGGGGTATGTTACGTAAATACCAAAACTAACCACTTATATACGTGACATAACGGATTTTGTCACGCAAGTTTCATGTTCGGTCACGCCTGTCTGACAGAGGCAGTTGCCCTAACACTACAGTCCTAACACTTAGTCATCTTCTTATATAATTGATATATTAAAACATTTGATCACTAGCTTCTGATTGCTTTCTTAATATGAATAATTTTGTTAAAAGCAGCGTGTCGCGTCAAAAAAGTCAGCTGCGTCAAGAATAACAATTAGCATATTTTGTTTGAAAATCCTATGTGAATTATTTAAGATATATGATACTTCTTCAGATGATTATCGCATTGTCATTGTTCACAGTTGAGCCCCTCGGGATACATGTTCTGGTCAGCAGCTATCTCTGTTAAGGTAGTGGACGAGGATTTATTGCGCCATCGCCGTGACAGTCTTCTCTTTTCCTGGCGTGACGTTCCAATCTCTCCAGTACTCACGCGGTTCAGTTCGTCCGGGAGAGACATGGCTAGAGAAGACAAATCCTTATTTGCTGATGGGGAAAAAAAGTTAAATCCTTAACAAAAATCACAAAGTAAGTATAATTATTTAAAACGAAAGATTATCTTATTTTATAAAAGTGTGACTTAAACATAATCATATTTATAATTATTATATTTTTGATATAATTATAACTATTCTATTTTCTAAAAATGCGACTTACAACATGGACCCACAAGATCAGGCTTCGAAAGAACCTGTGTGCACAAGTGAAAGCTCCTTTCCATAGCCTTGAAGACAAAGATTAAACAGGCCTTTTTCAGGAAATGGTCAAGCATTTCCAGAGAATGACTGAGTTATCATGACTGAGCGTACGTATGAATAAATACAGTACTAAGAACGTTTAACAACGATTAAACAGGCTGATTTAAGAAATAGCAAAGCATCACCAGCGAATAACTGAGTAACTGAGAGTATGAATAAAGAGTTTTAAGAATGTTCAAGCCTTGAGCAAACCTTACAGCAGGCGTCTGTTGTCCTTTGTGAGAGTGATATTGGGGTGGTAACACGTACCCATTGTAGTGATAGAATTATGCCGTATGATTATAGTACCGTCCACCTTACCTAGCTCCGAGTTCTGCCCATTCAGCGAGTTCCCAGTACTCTTGGATCGATTACGTATGGACTCTTGTTCTATCAGACTACTGGGTGTAGTCTGCGTGCGCATGAAAGATTTGAGATCCCCCGCTGGAGTAGAAGGTCTGCTGCTCGTGCTTGGCGCTGGACTGAAGCACCTCGACGCGAACTCCTCGAACATTGACAAGTGCTTGTGATTCTTAACGATACGTCGAATACTCTCCTGACGCTCTTCGTAGCTTTTGTGCTGGTTAAGGAAACTAGCCTTACAAGAAAACGAGTAAGACTGCTTTATACATTGAAGAGTATTTGAGAGAGCATCAGTGATACAGGTGAGCGCGAAATCAGTTTCAATTTTTTTCGACACCTGATTTTTCACAGCAAAAGCTGTTTATGTTACAAGGGCAAGGCACAGAGTACGATTTGGAAAGCTGTATAGTTTATAATTCTTCCCTAGTGCACCCCCCCCCCTTTACCCACAAAACACACATACAGAAACCCATAAAATCTTCGGACAGCAACGAATTGGAAGAAATATGGAGAAACATTTCGACTGCTTTGTGCTCAAGATATATAAGTAACAATGATTATGGATGTTCATGACAATACAAAGTTTCGCTGCACAAAGGATACCATCTTTCGTACATGGGAATGAGTGCTCTTTTGATAGCCATACTAGCGTTGATAGCAGTAGCTCTGACTAGAGAGGGAAGAACGCGCCGGTTTACGATTGCACYGTCAAATAAAGGCCCAAAATGTGGCACCTGAAACAAAACAAAACATGATGAATAGAACGAGGCACACTGGGCAAACACCGGCTAAATAGATTTAGGGGTTTCTGATATGCGAGTACTGCGAGTCAGGCGGCACGGCTAACTCACAGATTGAACCCTGAAACAACCTCTGGGCTGATCAAAGTCAGGGTACGGCTAACTCACAGATAGAACCCTGAAACAACCTCTGGGGTGATCTATTACAGGACATGACTAACTCACAGAACAACTCTTCTGACATGTCCAAGATCAAAGCTGAGACCCCAGAGGTGAGTGGATTACCGCTACGCCACCCTTGATTTTCAAAAAGACGGAGAAAGAGACTGACAAACGAGACAATAATAATATCTTTAAATAGCGTGTTGGAGTGTTAATGGTCTTACCTGTGGTTTCTTTATGATATGAATCCTAAACAAATGGTTCTTTAACGGGTAGATTACAAGCAGCACTGCACCAAACTCCGTATTCACAATGCCGTATCGGTAATCCCGACTATGCTCCGACCACACGATGTGAACTTCGTCGTTACCTAGGTGACGCATCTAGTAGAGAAAAGACACAATATAAGTAAGATGATGGTGGGCATGATGATGATGACGATTAGTGATGATGATACTGCTGCTGATGATGATGATGACGGTAGTGACGGTGATGACGATGATGGTGATTGTRATGATGATGGTCAGTGAAGATTACGATTACGAACCCTAACAAATGAATGACAATAATAACGATGGTGATAATATCACGCCATTATGACCGACCTTCTTAGTGAAGCCTGTGCCATCTGTAGCAAGTGGCATACGAGTAGACACGTGAAATATCACTTCTTCTGTCGAGTTAGCGTAGTAAGGTGCTGTGGAACCTGTGGACAGGTTACGTTCTAGTCCACCCATAAACCCAGTGTGCTTGGACAAGTCCACCTGGAAGAGACAAGTCGGCGGAGAAAACATTAATGACTTTTCTAAAGAACTTCACAGCTGAAAGGAAACATTTTATAGTCCAACCAGTACCATTCCTTTGAAGATTACTCAGAGGAGGAGTACTCATGGAGAGAGGGACAGTAGGAAGGAGAGCGGGCAAGAAGGAGGTAGAGAGGGCGATGGAGAGGAAGAGGGTGAGGCAGAGGGAGAGGCAAGAGGAGAGGGAGAAGAAGAGAGGCGTCAACAATCTAGTTAAAAACCTGATAGCAAAAAGAAAAAAAAATTGAAATTGTTAATCTAGCTTCAAGAATATTGTCACACTTACCTCCCATCCGAGGCCGGCTACAAAATCTTCATAGGGCTGGCTTCCTGCGCTGTTGTTCATGATAGATGTCTTGTCCTCTTGGCCGTCCGCGACGTATAGAACTGCTATTTTATGCCTCTCGCGACTAAAAATGAAAAACCATGGCTCATACACTTAATCAAAATATGGCGACCAGTTTTACACGTGAACATGAGGCTCAGTCCAGAACAATAGTTATTCAAATTGGTCACCATATTTGAAATTAGTCTATATCTCTACTACCAGGCAATAATATTCCATGGCAATGATTCAATTTCAGTAAGCAATAAGAGAAGCAAGTTCGCAAACGTTAACGCGAAAACGAGGTATTTCAAGTGCTCTGCAGTTCTCTGTGTTTACATCGCAGAAGACAAACACAAGCAGACGTTTTACACTTTTATAAAATATGTTTTTGGAAATCTTGCGCAAGTCTCTGTCCCCGGTAATTAAGAAGTTAGCAGACCAGCGACTATTTGATAGTCTAAATATGTCATGGCTTACCATCGTATCTTGTCCAGATTCTTTAATTCACGTAAAAAGCGTTCGTTTCGCTCCAGCAAGTCCACTCTTAATCTTGAAATCAAAGAAGCAATGTTAGCTTTTTCAAGTTTTGATGTAGGATGGTCGTAATACACATTAGTATTTTTACACAAGTGAATATGATAAATTCGGTGCGCTCATTGGTCACAAATTACGTCTTATGCTGCGCACGCGCACGCTCGTTTGTTGAGATGTGTCGTTGGAAGCGATTAATAGAATTTGAACAAAAAAACCTCTCTCTTATTTATGAAATTCACTTGTGTTAAAAATACTAAAACAATTATTCTCCTCAGGCTCAGTGAATGTCGGGGAATATTTACCTTGATGCTCGAAGACTCGCGTCTCGGTCAATATTCCCCGATATTCACTTCGTCTTGGGTGAATATTCGTTAAATATCCTTTAACAGGGACCTTACCTTTTTTCCCACGCCATTATCCCATTCTCACTGATAAGAAAACGACAGAGCTGGAATGGTGAACTGGGGTCGACATGTGAAGGAGGACGAAACTCTGCTGCTGACAAACTAAGAGAAACACAACCACTAGTTATTAGCCATTATCTCTCTTATCTTCGCTGCTCACGCGACCCGACCTAGAAAACTCCCATAATCCCATACGAACCTAACATCTGTGACGTCATTGATATAGTTCAGCTCGGATTCAAACTGCTGTGACACTGAGTCGATCACCGACATTTCCATATTTCTATCGATCACGTGGCTTGAAGGAGCAGGCTCGTTCAGTGATTGGTCAGGATAGAGGATACACTCACGGCTTGTTGAACCGATGTAACTCAAGGCCTGAGAACAGTAGAGAAAGCAAATTAGGCTCTGGTCAAACGTCGGACTTCAGATGAGCCGAACCTAATAACATCAAAGACGACCGCCTTGTTATCCATTGTTTCAATTAGGTTCGGGTCATGTAAAGTTCGACGTTTGACCTAAGCCTTAGACAGTTCTAATACAAGATAAACTACGGGTTAGACGCTACAACGATGCGTAGAGTCTCAAAAGACAATAAAAAACCTTTTTCTCAGAATTAACACCAGCGCAACCAACACAGCCCCAGACGACTGGGTGTTTGACTTCCGTTGATTAAAAACACATGACCTTAAAAAACGTTGGAAATTTGTTTCACGGAAGCGCCAAAAACTCAAACATCTCGGATTATATCAGTTAGGTTTCGGGGTCGCGTTATAATGTAAATGGGCTGTGTCTTTCAGGAGTTGAAAAACGCGTTGCGTTGCGGTGCTGTTTTAGGCGAAGCTTTATACCTATATGGCATCTTTTTCTCTTGCTATAGCGCATTCTTATAACTTTGGAAAGGCCAATCTGAACATATTTAAATACCTCGTCAAGCCTGTCAGGAGTGAACGGTGAACTGGATGCTCGTAGGTCTTTCAGTACACGTTTTCTGGTGTGACTTTTATTGGTTGTCGCTGGCGAGAGTGGTTGGAGTTGTACAGATAGTCCTTGTAACAAACCTATAAAAAGATGTTGGATGGGAAAAATGGAGAACGGCGAGGAGGAGGAGGAGGAGGAGGAGGAAGAGGAGGTGGACGAGGAGGAGAAAACAAGAGAACTAACAAGAAGAGTAGTGAAGGTCGAGGAGTAGAAAAAGAGGGTCGAGGAGGTCGAGGAGGGACGTGGAGCAACTAGATTGGTCGAAAAAGGTACAAAAAGTTGAAAATGAACCATAAAAACCATTTTCTTTACCAGGAAAAGAAATCCGTTTTCCAGTATCATCGTTTTTGCCGTACAGTAGGGTATAATCCCACGAGTGCCTTCCACTCATGTCACGTAGAATTAGACGAACTTGTGTCTTGGCTGTGGTCATGTCGTGTAGTACTGATCGGTTAGTAGGCATCTGAAAGAATATCCACATGAAACTACTGGTGAGAACAACTAAGGATAGAATCATGACAAGGTATTCATACACTGACTGACTGACCTGACCTGACTGACTGACTGCCTGACTGATGGACTGACTGCCTGACTGCCTGACTGATGGACTGACTGACTGACCTGACTGACCGACTGACTGACTGACTGATGGACTAACTGACGGACTGACTGACCGACTGACAGTTTACTGAGAACCTTACCTCCTCCTGAATCTAGTTTACTGAGAACCTTACCTCCTCCTGAATCTCGATCATTGTTACTAGGACGCTGTCGTTTAGAATAAAGAACTGAAAAAATAACATTAAAACAAAAATATTAATGACTATTTGTCAAGTGCGGGGACACGTAACAACCAACCTTTTCCTCATGGTATGCACACGTTCAAATACAAAAAACCTGACAAGTCACGTACAAAGAACAAGAACTTTGGCATGAAAGTTTTGCGTTGAACAAAAAATCCCTGCATCAAACCCTATAATTCGTGCTTTTTTATTTTTTTTTGTGGTCCATAAATCGAGGATGCATTCAGAGAAAAGTGTCTGTTTAAAGTGTATATCATCTCATTTGCATATTGATATTTCAAATGTTTATATTTCTGAAAAGAGAAGATCACGTACAAAAATACTGCAACCATGCTACTACATTGATCACATATAAGTGATTTTCTCAGTAAAATAAAAAATTTCCCCTTGATATACACTTTAAGGGTTCTTTCTTATAGAAACACTGTGTGTACCTGTACATTGGGCGAGTTGAATATTGACTGTTGTAGTTCTTCAGCAGCGTCTGGTACACTAGGGTTATCTTCATGCTCACTAATATTACTATCGATTCTTGAAGGCCCTGCGCCGAGTGGAAAATGACCAAGGTGGTTTACTAAATGCATTAAGGCCTGTGAGAAAAGAAGGAAAAGTTCAGTTATGAGTAGAAGAAAAGGATCTAGACACAGTTTCAGTCGTCACACTTTGGTTAAAATACACAGGATTAAGATAGTGGTGACACGGGTGAAATATGAACTCACTGGTCAGGCCTCCGCCATTTGCATGAAAACCCTACAGCTGATGCCCGCAAAGACCTACTGGGTAATATCGTAAAAACCGTTGGGTACCAGTGTACAACGTTCCCAATTTGCGGCACGGGAGCAGTAAAATAGATGTGCGGAAGGCTTTTCTTGGCCTTTCGAAGGTAGCTCAGGTAATATGTACCCCATGTTTGGAAAATAAATAAAAATATGGATAGGCCTAAAGACCCTTCTTCTTCTTCAACCCCCGCCTTCCTGGGACACTCGAGTAATCTATACCGGCGCCTCAACGTATTTGATAAAGCTTTATAAAAGCGGTTTTCTAGTAGAATTGTATCCCTATTTTGAAAATGCAAATGATCTTACCGCTTGCGCAGTTAGCTTGACAGGCTCTGCTTTGGGAGGAAACGAGAAGTGTACGGGTGTCTTGTTTTCTGAGTGAATAAGAAAGACACAACAAATTAGTATTATGGAGGAAGATATCACTTGATCTCGTTAAAAATATTTGGTGTAAGTTTGACGGCACAAGGTACGGTTACGGTGAGGGAATGATAAAATCCACTGAAGCAATTAAAGCGTAGCTGCTTGTCTAATCAAGATGATACCATAAAACCTCTCTTACCCGATCGCCATGGTCACGATCATCGATCAAGGCATAGCTATCGGTAGTTATTTCAGTCATAGGCTACATTTAGCACTACTTTGAAACACTCACGTATATAAAGGTGCCGTTCCTTGTGCTGTGTCCGTATATTTATATTGCATGTTGTGATTGGCTGTTTTTCCGTACAATGACCATGCCGTGCCTTTAAATTTCAAAGACAGACCGCACTCTTGTACGTAAATATCGTATTCTGTACTCTTACCGGTGTTTGTTAGGAGCCAATCAGATATTATTACATAACAATCTATAAAACATGCGACTTGTCAAGAGCACGATACACAGAAAAATATATACAGGATTTGGATGTCCAAGTCTTCCCCAGTACCTTGCGAGTCATCCCCACTGTCCTGAGATTCTAAGGGACTGGGTAAGAGGTTGTTAGTTTTACTTCCGTCTTGTACACGCGCTAATCTGATTGGTCGGCCATCGCCGCTGATGATAGTAGAGATATTGAGTGACTTCCGGCGCCTCTGGCTGATCTTATTGGCTGTTGCCATTTGAAGGACCTGCAAAACAACCGCCAGCTTCTTTCTCAATTGATCAACATTAAAATAATATTGTCATATACAAAGTGTCAAAGTAAATTTTTTCTCTCGTCTCATTGGCCAAGAGAGTGCCACGCCCATCTCTTTGGGACCCAGGGTACATAACACGAGGAGATAGAGTGGTTTTCGTATTTGCGCAAAGCAATAGAGGATATCAATACACTTCTTTAATTTGGGCGTAATTTGTTCCCATTTCAAACCTCGGGTCATTCCCTTGAGAATAAGATTCTTTGTTTGAGTTGTATCCATATCCATGTGTCTTCTCGTGCGCAACCGTTAAACAAAGAAATGATACTCTAGGGAATGACACGTGGTCTGAAATGAGGAAATATTACGCCCGAGGTAAAGAGATCTATTACTGTGGTGTACGTATACGGTATTTTGAGCTACCAACAAGAATCCAGACTCTTTTCAAGTACGCAACAATTTCCTGGTATGAGCAGAGCACAAAATGGATGCATCTATTTAGTTTTACCTGGAACACCCGTGTTAGTAGGCTGAGGTTTTCGTCTCCTTTCTTGGCTAGAAGTCTTTCCACAGGAATGACCATAGTCCAGTCCAGCAAACAGAGTATTACAGGTACAATGATCTGCAAGACAAAATCATACCAGGGATAAACACGGGTATAACTATACTGATTTAAATAATTACGCACAGTAAATTTAGAGAAAGCTTTCGCATGACTTTGAAAAACGTATGGCCCGCCTATGTCGTGCCGTTACCGTGACGGTATATGGAGTCTGAACATTTTGATTGGAGGCCAGAACAGAAGTCGTGTGTTCTGTGATAGGTCGAACTTTCAATGCTATGTGATAACTGTTGCGTGACTGTGATTTGACCCAACAAAGGGTTGTCGTACCGTGACGGTATCAAATCAGAGCTTTTTGATTGGTTAATATGGTATATCGATATGCAAGAAGTCAATACTGTCATTACGTGTCCGTGCTGTGCCGTGGCATTCCAGTTATGCGAAATAATCTACTCTACGTGTGACTTACAGAATGGTCTTCATGAACGTTTGCAGCTTCTCCTCCAGGTAGCAAGCTAACGAGCGTTTGGCACAAAACCTGTAGAAAGATCACGTAGTTAAGAATGGCAAGCACAGTTAATAAACCAATTCTGTTTCCCCGATTTCAGAGCGCATTATCGTCTCTTGATTGCCATTAAGATACCCAGCGGGATAGCTTTCACTTTCTCCGAGCCAAAGGAAGGAAGAGGGGGAGCCAGCCCTGGATCCATCCTCGGATACTTGGCTCGAGCACTCCATGTGATTAGTAAGAGATGATTGTTGATTTACAATCGTTTTCCTCTGCCTTCTCGTTTGACCTAGATTGGAGCCTCGATATTTTGAGATGTTTGAGAAGATATAGACCCCTTGCACTGAGTCCCGAGAAAAATTGTTCTGGAGGACAAAACAATGGATGTTTTTTTTTGCATAATATAACAAAAGGTGGCCTAGTCTCCCGGGACAATTCCTCTAGGAAATCAATGTACTTTGTCTATTGTAACAAAAGCGCAAACTTACCTCCACGATCTTGAGTGGTAAGTCAATCTCATACTCGGTGAGTTCTTCGTAATACTCTGACAGCAAATGTATTAGATCCACAGACACATTACAGATGGCTTTGTGATGGAACTGAAAATGAAAATGAGAAATCTTCTTGTCCTAAATAATGCCTAAAGAAAGGGGTAACAGCATGATCTCTGACAACTAAAAAGTTTAGAAATTTTTGAGGGGTACATGGCTATCCTGCTGGCAATGTATACCTTTAATTTTCCCTGAGTGAGAGAAAGGTAAGAGAATATAAAATAAAATTCTGCTCGCAGGGTAACTCCTGGCCTCTAGATTATGAAGCCCCCTCCCCTAAACAATAACCGACAACAAACACAACTCAAACCGTTCTCTAAAACAGCTTCAACATAGTCACTTCATACAAGGTTCTTGCGATTTGTGAGAATACATACAGTTATGCTTTGTAGAAGAATACAAATACAGTCTTGTACTCTGGGATGACCTTTACAATGAACCAGCTCTTCGACCAAGAACACACCAAGAGAGTTGAGAGCAATGCATCTACAAAAATATCATATACCATGAATATTTGTTAAACACTGTAACATAACCATGAAAGCCCTGGAAAGTGAGAGAAAAGAAAGCTTTGGCACAGGAGGTATGTGAAGGCAAAACAGAGTTCAGGCTTACCTGGTAGTAGCAGATGGATCCAGTTTGGCAACTCTAAGTAAAGCAACGATTAATTTCTCCTGTACCAAAAAGATTGGAAATAAAAAGGAAAGTGAGATGCTTAATAAATACTTTATACATATTATGCACTGCCATATAGTGGTTCTTCAAGTTGCTGTAGTTTCTACACATGTCACAACCATTATAGCCATAGTCACCATCATGGCCACACAGAGACAATATAGACTGTAAACACAAGCATATGATTGCCACACTCTTGGAAGAGCTAAGATCATGGTTCAGGAAAAGCCATGATACAGATACAATAAAGGTTCATTAGCAAATATGTCAGGACATTGCTATAGCATTTTTTTAATGAAAAAAAGCCTTACCTTAATATCTTTGCCCATACTCGTTGGCTGGTACTCATTTGTTTGATGGCCTGGCTGATGCAGAGGCATATTAGGAAATGCATTGGGATAGCACAACAGGGATCCCATCAGAGTAACTGCCTCGGCACGAGGTAACTACATGGAAAGGAAAAGAAAAATAAGTTATTCCTTGAAAGAGAACATAGAGGCTTTGTACCATCATGTGAAACAGAAAACCTTTCTACTTTATTCAATTAGAGCGGTAAAGTTCTTACATTATGTTGCCAAGTGGACAACATCTTTTGTTCCAAACAAACAATGTGGCATCCATGGCATGATGCTTATTCAACCAAAAAGGGAAGAGGTATATGTATTTCTATAACTATGCATTGCCTCAATATACAAAAGAAAGGTCAATCTAATCTCCAACAGGTCAAAATCTGGACTGGTATGCCGATAAGCTGATAAAATTCTTTTACATATTATGTTGAACACAAAAATAGAGAAGGGGGGGATTTACTACATTATCATACTTACCTCCAAATTTTGGTTGATGAAGATAGTATTTGAAGCTTGTATGAAGTCCAAGATGAGTAGAGTACAACAAGGCAACACGAGAGAAAAGAAATGTCCACAGTTACTGATGATTGCACTGATGACATCCTGGTCTGTCCCTGTCAGGCCGATATGCATCAGCCTATAGAAGTGTGTCAGGTATTCTTGGGATAGAGGAAGTTCATGCCTGCGCACTGTCATGGCTGTCATCAGTTGGTAGGCCAATAGACGTCCTTGTTTGAATTTGAACGGCATGGACAGAGATGCAGCCTAAGAATGTGGAATATGGAATTGATGTTATTAATAAAGATATAACAAGAGCAAACCAATAAAGTTTTTAATTAGCTCCAGAAAAGGAATAAATAGAAAGAAAAAGGGAGAAAAAAGGGGGTGTTGCTGTATAGTGAATTAGTGTAACGCAACAGCAAAGTTTAAATTAATAGAAGAATATAGATTACAAAAATGTGTATTCTGATCCCCCAGAACACCCCCCTGAGTTATTCAATTCAAAAGTTGCAACAAAGGTGAGCAGAAGATTTCTGAGAAACATTGGGTGTGCCTATTTACCTCAAATACCCAGGTAGCAAAGTACTGCAAGGGTGGAAGAAGCTCTGGTACGCTTGGAGTAAACTTATTGTCGATAGAGATGCCTTGGTTAAGTCGGACCTAAGATGATAAAAATAATCAACACACTAAGGAACACACTAAAGAGGAATGTATAGTGAACCCTTTTTTATGATGGGTGTGGAGATGGTGGGTGGTGTTTTCAAGGTGAAGGTTTAGGGAATGTATGATTTTTTTGGGAGAGAAATGTATAGTGGGTGAATACTTTTTTGTAATTGATTTTGGATGGGTGTGGAGATGGTGGGGGTGCTTTCTGGTGAAAGGCATAAAGGTAAGGGTGTGTGATCTTTTTGGGGAATATATAAAGGTTTGGAATGTATGAATGGGTGTGGTAATCAGGATTAAACTTGCCTTGGCCAGCATGTCCCAGATAATAGTAAGGCATTCAATGACTTTAGCATGGATAGCAGGATCCTTAATCTTATTGATGTTACCAAGAATGCCCAGCATTCTTCTCCACAGTACAACAGATGATATAGGACCCCATCCTTCTCTTACTCCTCCAGCTATGACACTCAGCTCTTCCTCGCTTGCGCCACCTACTTCTTCTACTTCTAGCAGTTCCTCTCTGGTTTCACCAAGAAAGGGAGAGGGACTTGCATAGCTTGTTTGTGTCAAATCATCAGATATATCTAAAAAAGCCAATACTCTCAATTGCAAAATCATTGCTGGCAAAACATACATCACAGAAGCTGAGCCAAAGAGTTATTCTGGGAAATATTCTGGGAATAAGGCTGTGCTGGATGGTACTGGAGGATTTTTTAACCTGTTAAAAAATTGTACATTTAGGGGTTCCATTCACAACTGAGCTATCCAAACAAAAACTCATAAACCTATCCATGCAAATTTGGGACTGGTTCAGCAAAAACAGAACAAATTTTTTGTAATTAAAGAGGCGATTCCATGTAAATGGTATGTACAGGTCAAATGTTTAACTGGTTAATAATCTTGTACCGTGTAAACACACCCTAAGTTGTAACTGAAAATTGTGTGCAACATAATATGGACTACCTTGACCAGTCAAGACAGAGGAGAGCCGGCTCCCCTGGTTCTCGTCCATTTGATCTGTCATATTCATCATGTCATCCCTCTTGATATCAATATCATCCTGTCCAAACACCGGATTGATAAGAGAATCCCGAGATCCCCCATCAGATTTACTCTCCAAGCTTGATTCACTGATTCTTGACAGTCCTATGTGTGTCTCACTTTGAACTTTTGGCAAGCAGCTGGGTTCTTTATCAAAGCTCAGGTTGTACCATTCCATGGATTTTGCAGTATCTTGTCTTGTTACGGTACTAGTAGCAGCTTGGCGAAGCATTGGTGGAGTAGAGGCAAAGTCTGTCTTGTCCTCATCTTTGATTCCGTTTATTGAGTCTTCTGGTTCAGTTTTGAAGCTCATTTCTCCACTTCCTGTACTTTCTGTGTCACTCATTTGGAAAGATAATAGCTTGTTTGCTAGTGGGCTTTCTTCTTTGGCTTCTTCTAGGTCATTTCTGAGAGCACTAGAGGATGAAAATTGACCAGCATTTTCACCTTCATTGCTGGTTGCTGAACCTGTCAAATATATGGAATGGAAAAATATTTGCTTATGTGTCAGTTTTTGGTGTTACTGTTCTACTGTTCTAAGTATAAAAGTGACAGAAGAAAAAAGACGAAAATGAAGGAGGGAAGAGGAAAAGGAGTTAGGGAAGGAGTGAGGGAGGAAGGGAAGGAGGGAAGGAGGGAAGGAAGGAAAGCAAGAAAGGATGGTGGGGAAGAAGGAACCAACAGAGGGAGAGAGGAAGGAAGGAAGGAAGGAAAGAGAGAGAACAAAAAGGGAAGGAAAAAGGAAAGCAAGAGGGAAATGTTAGCTGCTAAGTAGATAGTTTGAAAAAATGATTTAAAGGGAACATATTTTGCACAGACACATGCTCCTTTTGTAAGCATGAGAAGTGTAAAATCTAGTTTACTACAACTGAAATAAGATATTGGGTATATATAAGCTTCAAACCCTACCTGCAGCAACATCAGCTGCCTCAGTTAAGGCATCCTCCTTGATTTTACTAGTTTTCCTTGTTCTATAGAAAGCACTATTGCCAACAGGAGCTGCATCTAACTCTTTCTTAGTACCATCTAATGGATATACCTCAGAGCTAGCTGCATTAGCTGTTGGCCTCTGTACATTAGGAGTAACAGGGGCAGAAGATCCATTGGTCTTTTCAAGAGTGTTTCGTATCACTTTTGGGCTGCCTTTGCTATGGTTTCCCATTTTGCTCCAGCGAGTGAATGAATCTTTATCAAATTGAGTTTTATTTTCAACTTGATGTCTTCTTTTCTTTCTTTTCTGTTCACTGAGCCTGACCAGTGGTAGATCCTCTAAGTCCAGACTGTAAACCGTTCTTGCCATCACTCGTGTGAGGGTCTGAAGAGTTGTCTAAAAGTTTTAAAAATATGAAAAAACACTTTAAGAAATAATCTGTTTGGGTTTAAATTGATGGGAAAAGATTTGAAGATGAAGGTTTGAGCCATTAAAAAGCATTTTGACTACTGGGTAGCAAAGGTGGTAAAGCAATATTGCACTCATCTTTCACCTACTGGGAGGTGAGAAGAGTTTGTTAGGTCTCTAACTTGATTTGAGGGATTTTTCTGGGATTCCAGTTTTCCTCCCTCAGTAAAACCTAATACTAATAACAAAATTTGAAGGCAAGTCATAGAACTGAGAACTTCACTACCACTGACAATAATTTTCTCCCAGACACACAAAGCCAGCTGCAATCTATTCTTAAGCACAGATTTTTGTGTTACATGTACGATACTTACATTCCATTCATTGATAACTTCAGCCCAGTGCGTTAATGATGATAAAACATCCATACACTTATCCCAAAGGAATGTCGACACTTGTACTTTTAAGTTTGCACGAATCCAGGTAACAAACAGAGTCTAGTTAAATTAATTGCAAAAACCATTAACACATAATTACTAGCCATGAAATAGAGACTTGGTTTGCATTATGAGAGACAACATTTAATTTCTGTTCCTCAATGACTCATGCAGTCATTTTTAAAATTTCAAAATTATTCTTCTCAGATACTTGGAATGTTATAAACTATGTTGACTGAGGGAAACTGTTTGAAATTATATGGGATAAAATGGGCTCATATTAAAACGTATTTGTGAAACTTGTTAAAGAGTGTAAGAAAATAAGAAGTATCCTTAGGCACTGGAAGAAATGAGGTCATGCTTAAATTTTCATAACCCCTTTATACATGAAGCATATTTTCCCCATATCAAACTAACGTAAAAACATGTGCTGTTCCCCTCTTCTTAGTGAATCCCCTCTCTATTTGCAAGATGGAGGCAGCATGGTCGAGTGGTCATAGCGTCGGTCTCGCAATCCGGTGGTGTCGGGTTCAAGTTTGCTGTGGTCACTAGCTGAGACTGTATTTGTCCTGGTCACTGATTAGTTCAGATTCAGTTTCTCGACCATGCTTGTAAATAGCCAACTGGTTTGCCTCCTTGCCAGTTGGGATTTTTAATACAATTTCTGTTTCTTTGATCATTTCATTTCAGTTTATTGATTGTAGGAGGGCCATAATGGAAACTACTGGGTTACCAGTAATGTATGTCACCCTCGTTAAATAAAGTCAATTTATTTATTTATCTATTTATTTATGGGAGTAAGTGTATGATAAGAGAAAAGTATGGGACATTTAATTTACAATCTTATAGACCATACGATACCTGCAGTAGGCCAGCAGCCAGTTGTCCACATAAGGTGCTTCCTCTTTCACCAGGAACCTCTCTTGATAACAAATGCTTGGCTGCCTCAAGTAAGACCAGTAATAACTGCTCCCTAAGAAGACAAGTATGGCAGAAATTTAAAACTTTGTATGTCTGAAACTTTGTTTTTGCAGGAGTTGTTGATTTTGTTCACTCATTTCTCTGGGAATATACTGTGCAAATGTTACCTTTTGATCTATGTTTTGACCATACTTAAAAACTTTACTTTCATAGAAAGGTTATATACAATAATGAATCATCATTGATATTTTACCAGGTTTTGCCTTCCATTGGTACTTCCAGGACAATACTTCTGTAGAGATGAATGACCCTCTTGCATACATCAACCTTGATTATAATTGAAGGAAGTGTCAACCAATAAATCAGTAAATGCATATGAACTTTAAAAAAGGATTTCACAGCAAAAGGAAGGAATGATGGATGGATGGATGGAAGGGAGGAAGGAGGGAAGGGAGGAAGGAGGGAGGGAATGGAAGAAGAGAAGAAGGAAAGAAGGAAAGAAGATACCAAGTTATAAAGAAAGAAAAAGAGGAAGGCAGGAAGGGAGAAAGAGAGGATGGAAGAAAGGGATGGAAAAACAGAGGGAAGTAAGGAATGAAGGGAAGGGAAGAAGGAAGAAAGAGAGGAAGGAAGGAAGGGAAGGGAGGACTGAAGAAAAGAAGGAAGTGAAGGGTGGAAGGAAGTGAAGGAAGGAAGGAAG